AACACAATAAAAGAGAATGCAGTTCATAGCAATCAATCTGAAAAAAAGACATTTGGAGAAAAAAAAATGTTTTTGAAAATAAAAAATCAGTAAAAATATATGGTATATATTTTTAATTATTTGAAAAACTAAAAAATATGATATTCAATTTCAGTGTTACTAATTTTTTTTAAACAAATAAAGTTACTTTCAAAACCTTTTTTTTTTATCATATTTGATTTTTTTAGTTTCTTTCTGGATTGCAATTTTTTCTCTCATTCTTAATTTATAAAACATGGTTTGTTTGTTTTTTCAAAATTCCATTTACAAAATATGTTTTTTTATTAGTACCAATAATGGAACAAAATTCATTTCAGAATGGTAGATCTCATCCTATTGGATCTGCTTCCTGATTCTGACGCAGATTTTATGCGCAAAATTCTAGTTAAAATCAGGTTCCAACCCATAAAGCTAACTCTGATGTGTGTAGTTGCCGTTTCCAGTAGTTCCAGTAAGAGCAGACAGTTGCGCGTCTAAGAAACAGACATTTAAAGATCGATTTGAGTTGATTATAAAATTTTATTATTTGTTTTTTTATTGTACAAACGCTACCAGTGACAGGAAAAACAAGCACTTAGGATGCTGCGGGGACGGAACGATGCTCTTTGGTATAGAAATTTAATTCTTACTTGTTCCAACATCATTCTTGGTTAAACAAACAGCCAAACCTTTTTGGGCGGCCATGTTGGGAGTGGCATTCTTGTTTAGCACCCTCTCAGTCAAATGTGGACAATGACTGCTCTTTTCTTCCAGAACTTTGTGGTTCCTATTATTCTCCAACTTCCCAAATTATTGTTATCTATATAGATATAAGGATAAAGATCCCAAACACTCATCTTCATTTTAAAGGGATAAATGAGGCTGATGCTAAGGTTTCGGAGACACCCATTACATCAGAAGATCCTCGTGAATATTTCATAGTGGGAGAAATCCTCTATCAGTACATCGAATGAAAATTGCAACTCAACTTTTAAGCTCTTGCTTTTAGGAAAATTTCAGAATGTTTTTGAAGAGATTTTAAAAGTCTCTCACACCCACACTTCCGTGCTCTCGGAAATAATTATCTGTGTGGAAAGTTGTTGCTTCAACTTTTCCCTGTATGTTTTGGAAAGCTGACAAAAAAGCAGGTATCTGACTAGACATAAGGAGAAACGATCAGCAGTGACATGAAATGAGACATGCAGCAGAAACAGAGACAAAGCCGAGACCTTCTACTGACACCAAAAAGGATCTGAGCACTACTGCAGCCAAGCACAAAACCTTTCTACATTTGTGACGAATTATTGGTTCTTATGTTTCTGAACCTGCATCTCTGTGGAAAATAAATGTCTTTTACGTTTTCAGACGTTTTGACAAATCCTTTCGTAACGCCCGTTGCTCTAAAAGCGAGCATATGAGGCTCGTCTGGATTATGATGGTTTCTCCAGCTGCAGCTCTGATTCATAAAGTGCCTGACCGGAGTACAGCGTTCGTGCGGTTTGAACGCCCTGGGGGTTCCTCTCATACGTATTTCACCTCTTGTACGTCGCGTGACGAGCACCTCCTTCTATAAGAGCCCCACATATGGATGTTAATGACCCTGAATAGGCTCCTCCCTATTCTTGTAACCTTGGCAGGGTTTTATTTTGGCACATGTGCACAAAGTATAACATAAGGAAGTTCTTACTCTTCAGCATTGCTCGATTTTGAGCAAACAAAAAGCTCTAGGAAACCTTAAGGATCTTAGATTTGATTAAAACGCACCTGTTTTAGCAATAAACCCACAGAAATTCAAGATACGAGTTTTTTTACAACAGAGCAGGCTCTGATGGAGATGAATGACACTGAAACACACACCAGCGGTGAAAAATGTTGTTTGGAAAAGGGGGTAAATCTGCGGAGGCTTGATTCCGCTGGATACATGAAACTGCAACTAATGGGAGGCATCAGAAGCGGAGGGAGAAAAGTGAACTCTGTGGGAAACAGTTTGGAAAGCCAGAAACAAGAAGCACCTAATGTGTATCTCTCTGTAGGAAGTGGTATCCTGAAGGATACCATCATATCGATGAAAGGTGAGGTGTCCAGGAGATGCATGCGTTTCGGTGTAAATTGTTTGTGTCAGCCCAGACCTCAATGAAACCAGCTTTGGACTAGAAATGCCACTCAGGGAGGAAGAAACCATCACTTGTCCTGAGGTTTGATGACGCTCACATTTAGTTGTTTTGTTTTAATAACTATGATGACAGCTTCAGGCTGAGCGTTTTGGTTTTGTTCGTTTTTTTGCTGCAGGAGAAACAAGCACTTCTTAAAGTAAAGGGAATAATGAGGAGCCAGGAAGTTAAAACCTGGGATTAAATGGGTTGACTAAGGGACCCAGTTTAGTTCAGAGACTATAAATTCTTTATTTTAAGTCCATCGCATCCACAGCTGAAAGATGTGTCCGACCCTACAATGCCTATATTAATTCATAAGGAATGGGCCACAATGACCATTATTTAAAGTGTATAGAAGGTTTCAAAGGATTCAACCCTAGACTAGATTTAAAGAGACATTATGCTGGATTTTACTGAAAACTAACTTTAAAATAGCCTTTTTATTTTATCCTTTAGGACTGAAACCTCAGCGCTGATCTATCTATAAGCCTGTGGCCTATTTTCCATGAATGTCCTGCGGGTCAGAAGTTCCTGACCCGCAAGCGACCGGTATCCAGCTTAACTCGAACACCAATCTCAACTTGATGTAAAGTGAAAAAAAAAACAGCTAAAAGAGCGGGCAGTAAAGTGCTTTAGTTCTGTGTTTTGGCCACAGGAGGCAGTATAATTACAAAATGCTGTAAGGACTCTGGGATGCTCAGTGGCTCAGTGGGTAGCACTGCTGCCTTGCAGCAAGAAGGTTCTGGGTTTGATTCTCTGCCTGGGGTCTTTCTGCATGGAGTTTGCATGTTCTCCCTGAGCATGCGTGGGTTCTCTCCGGGTACTCCGGCCTTCTCTCACATTCCAAAAACATGACTGTTATGTTTTTAGGTTAATTGGCATCTCTAAATTGTCCTTAGGTGCGAGTGTGTGCATGAATGGTTGTTTGTTCTGTGTGTCTCTGTGTTGCCCTGCGATGGACTGGCTTCCTGTCCAGGTTGTACCCCGCCTCTCTCCCATTGACAGCTGGAGATTGGCATCAGCACCCCTCGCGACCCCACTCGGGACAAGAGTGTCAGATAATGGATGGATGGATGTAATGACTCTTTAAAACAACACCAGCTCATTATTTGGAGTTTAAATGATTGAAATTGTTTTAGTAAATATAAATAACTGAAATAGAAAATGTTAGGTTTGACTTGATAACAGACTAAAACTCATCATTATTACCAGGACTGCATTAATGTCTAGATATTTCAGTGCTGTTCTACTTAATAATGTTAATTCAATTTAATTTATTTATATTGTGCCAATTTACATACAGTCAAATCAATTAAAAGTTTCTATCTTAGGAAAACCAGTTGATTGCATCGACTCATTGACTCAAATGCAATCCCTCACACTAAACATGCTTGTAGCGACAGTGGAGAGGAAAAACTCCCTTTTAACAGGAAGAAACCTCCAGCAGAACCAGGCTCAATGTGAGCGGGCATCTGCTGAGGCCAACTGAGGTTCACGGAGGCAGAAGCAGAGATACAAAAGGCAACTGTAGCCAAACAGGAACAGACAAGGTGAAGCTACTATGAGAAAAAGCTGAGAAAGCATAACGTTAGAGATTGAACTAACAGATTCTGCAGAGTGGGAGAATAGAGATATAATTAAGTAGAATGATGAAATACTGGTCCCCATGTCCTCCAGCAGTCTAAGCCTATAGCAGCATAACTAAAGAAATAGCTCAGGATAACCTGAACCACTCTAACTATAAGCTTTATCCAAACGGAAAGTTTTAAGGCTACCCTTAAAAATATTGGAACGATAATTGAAATTTATTGATCTTGCACTGGAGAAATTGACCTCTGCATTCAACCGATTCCCCTTGGGGATCAGTGGGCTGCCATTTTGCAGGGAGCAGTGTGCGGTTAAGGGTCTTGCTCAGGGACCCAGAGTGGAGTCTGTGGGGATTGAACTGGGAACTTGCAACCTTCTCAGAGCACAAGCGCACTGCTCTAACCACTAATCCAACACTCCCCTTAAATGGACATTAATGTAAAAAGTTCTGCTTTATAGGCGGGTTTAATGCATCATACGTCATAAAATTTCTTCCTACTGTCTGAGATTGGGAATATCTTGGCATGTCACCTGTTTTGATTTTCTCTGATGACTCATCCCAAGCTTTAGCATCTTGATTGTTTAAATCTAACCCTGATGTGTTCATAACAACCAGATAAACTTCAACCAACTGACTAAAAACATCTGGCATGAGGAAGCTTGAAAACATGATGACAGTTTGACCTGACATATTCTACACCTCTAACTACAAAACAGGAAAGTTACGCTTAGGAGACAATATTTCTTTTAGTTTGTCACCAAAACTATATAGAGTTGCAGACTTTTTACATCGACAAGTTATGTTAAAATTAATGGAATGTTTTGAAAAAAGAAATGGCTGAATGCTTTAAAACGTGCATGTCTTTTATAGCCCTGCTTCTTTGGTATACATTTAAAGTTTTTGAAACTGTTTAACAGCAGAATTTTTTTAACAAGCCGCTGAGGCCAAAAGTGGATATGTAAAGGATAAAACTAATAAAAACTGCAATCTGTTTAGTTTAGCTCGGCTCCAAGCAGCTGCTATTTCCCCCATGTTGGCTGGGTGTCAGGGCTGACTTCAGCTTGGAGTGGAACAGGTCCAGTGTTATTGTTAGTAGTTCCACCCAAGCTTTTCTTACAACAGAAGGTCAATGTGACTGCCATGAACAAAAGCTTATTTGGCTGTTTTGAGATTCATTTGCTATCTTGAAGAGATTTCATTTTTAGCCTGTATTTAACTGTGTGTTCTTTCTTTTTGTTCAGGTTCAAGGTGGAAGCTTGAGGAACAGACAAGACCCCTGTTACATAGCGACTGCTGTTGTTGAGCCACATTCAACTCCAAGCACCTTTACCCGCACCGTCAACTCACACAAAAACCGCCGCCACCAGCCGAGAGTGACCTCCCGTCCCGGAGGCCACCAGAGCTCCAACCTTTCCCTCCCTCTGGCCTGCGAGGAGCAGGATGAGCAGGAGGAGTGGTCTACCCAACAACATCCTGACCTCCTCAAGTCCCAGTGGAGGGGTTACCAGACAGGCTCCCATTTCTCCGTGCCCAGCTTGGGCTCAACAGGCTCCACTGCAGCCTGTAACGCTCCTGTCCCATCTTTCAACCTTAAAAGGAGACCCTCCCTTGTCCCCCCGTTCCGCCTGAACGTGGATTCACTGATCGGTGCGGAGGAGACAGACGTGGACACGGGAAACAAAGTGAATCACGGCAGCAGTGCGGACCTTTCGGTGGTGTCTGCTTACATCAAATCCAGCCTGCCTTTGACCCCGCGGCCATTATCAGCGCCTCCGGAAGAAGTCAGACCCACCTTCTCTCCTGATATCCCAGACAATGCCTACAAATCAGCCACTTTGGGCCGAACGCCAAACAGCTTCTCGATCAACAGCACGCCGTCCACCTTGATGGAAGCACGTCTCCAAAGTGGCAGCTTAAGCACAAGTGCCGCGCCGTCCTCGAGCGAAGTTTCCATCAACCTGTCAGACAGCTGCAGCATTATTAGTGCACCGACTGAAGAGGCAGACAGGATAGAAGAAGAGCAGGAATTTTACATCTGATTTAAAGCTGAACGGATTGAATTTGGCCACAGATGTGATCGGTTAACACAACTCTACTCTGCCCTCTAGTGGCTTATAGTAAAAGTACAGTAAACCTCAGAACCAGAGGCATGTCTTGTGTTTCATTGGATGTAGATAAGAGTTCTGTAAATATCAGCCACATTTTATCCTCATTTAAGGGATCAATCAGAATTCTGTACAGAACTTTGTATTCTTTAAAATATAATCCTCTCCTGTTCCAGGTTAAATGTTACCTTTATAGCACAGTTAGGTCTATCTACAGTGCTTTGCAAAATGGTTGATCAATAAAAGGCAGGGGATATACTGTTTTCTATTGTCTGTACATTTTTACTGTAGTTAAAACAGCTGGCTTTAGGAGAATATACGGTTTTCTAAAGCTAAAAAGTGAAGTACTTGCATTGTTTCTTGCTAAATAGCTCATTCTCACTCTATAGAGTTTGTGCTGAAAGATGAGCATCTGCCCCAGTCTCAATTATTTTTAAAACCACGGGAGGTTTCTTTTCATGTTTTGCCTTGTATTTACCTCTGTGCATTTTCCCATATCGTACCTGTCTCCCTCTACCTGCTGAAGAAAAGTTTCCCCACACCATGATGCCGTCACTACCGTGGTTCACAGTGAGGATGACGTTCAGGGTCGTGTGCATCCAAAAAGGAAATTTGGGTTTCACCTGACCAGAGGATTTTCTTCCTTTACATGACTTTTGACAACTACAAACTGGACTTCTTGGGGCTCAAATCTTTTCCTTTGTATTTATCTGTAACATAAAATAAAAATAAAAATAGTGACAAATAAATAAAAGCTAAATGTACTGCATTACTGCAAAATGATCAAATATGCAGAAAAATATTGAGCGGGTTACAAGTCTAGCAGCTTTAACATTGCTTTTTATTCCAGAAAACATCCCTCACTCTACTGCTGGATTTGTGCCTGCCCTGAACCATAATAAAGTGTCCCAGGAATAAAAAATATATATATATATATATCTATATATTTATATATCTATATATATATCTATATATATATATATGTATATCTATATATAAATATATATACATATATACATATATATATATATAGTTCAATAACTGCGTTGCACACAAACAAACAAAAATTTACTTCCCTTCCTCATTTCTCTCAGTGAGATCATTTTCAAATGCACATAATCCTGACAAAATGTGAAAACTAGCCAATTGAAACTGTCCTTAAATATCACATCATCATTTGAAGCATTAAAGGTGTGTTGTTTTTTTAGTTGGTTTAAAAAGAAACTTAATCTCAGCTGCTGCAGCATGTTTAAGGTCTTGTTCTCATATCAGATAATAAATTTGAAATAGTTCAATCATACAATAAGAAAGTCTATGATCCCGAGGTTCCTGTTGTGAATATATTTTACTCCATATTTGACCAGAATTTCCCTATTGTAGGACAATAAAGGGATTTTCTATTTCTATTTTTTTTTCTAATTCTATATTTGACCAGTCAGTCCTTTAAAATAAATATGCTTCATAGATGGCTAGTAAGATGAATTATAGATACATTTTCGGAAACAGTATGTCAGAATTTTTCTCTCTATTTTGGTTAAGGCAGGAGAACTTACATGCATTGGTGTTCAAAAATACAAAAGGTCTTGATTTTGCTCTTAAAGCTTAAATGGGTCTATACAATGCTGCCCCCTTGTGCTAAAATGTGTCATTTCTTCCATTAGAGATAATATCCCCCAAATGATCTCTTGATTTTTAAACCAAAGTTCTTTGTGATTTATGGAGGAGTATTTGTTTACATTGCAGCTGCTTTCCTGAGGTGTGTAATGTGTGGGGAGGTGTGTTAGACCCTGTGGTGTCAGCTCAGTCTGATCACTAAAACATGTGTCTGTCTGTGTGGTCTGCATGCGGTACTTGCAGGAATATCTCTTCATACCGCACAGTGCTGGGTATGGAGAATCCTGCGTAATGCAGCATTTTTAGGGGGATGTCATCATCAACCAATGAATTCAGAGAGCCTTTAAGCTAAACTAGTAAGTGTGGATGTCTTTACAAAGAGACTTTGGAAAAAAAAAAAAGATCCATCTGTAAGTCTAAACCTGATATCTTAGCCAAGGTTTGTATAATTACTCTGAAATCTTTTTATTTAAACAGCTTCCTGTGCATTTTCCCATGTAAAATGATGCCTATAGTTTTAAGCTTCACTGCCTTAATCAGTTTCTTATTAGTATTATTTTTTCCATTACATTTTATAAAACACTTTAAGGTATCCTTTCATTTTGTTTGTTCTTTAGATTTTTGCGACCTTGACATGTTATGAACATTAGATTGTTCTAAATACTTCTATCGATAGAGGTCACACTACACAAACAAGGGACAGAATTAAAGCCACACTGTGCAACTTTTAGCCATTAGAGGCACTTAGACCTGTAAATTCCAGGTGTAGCTAACCTTGCCTGTAGGGGTCGGCCAGTGCAGAGTCATATTTTAGGCTGGATGTATAGGTGTGACAAAAACAAAAGCTACTGAGCCCACAGCAGAACAGAAATAAACATGCCAGCAGAGGAGAACGTAAGCTTAGCTCCTGTCACATCTGTTTTGTCAGAATCCACAATATCTGTCAAGGCTCAGAAAGTTGGACCCAGAATTCAGGCAGATAGAGCAGTGTTTTGTTTTTTTTATGTGTTTTTATTGACTGCTCAGAGTACTGCAGCTCATCAGCTGGGACCGGCTTACTGGAATCTCTGTAGAGATGCATACTCAGGTTAGTGACTACGAAACTCAGACGGGTGACCATGTGAGTCACTAACCTGCTTTTTAAGTTCTATCCGTGCCTAGAGGAAGGAATGGAAACCAGTCGGATGATTTCTCCACAGCATGCAGCGGGACTGCCCAGAGA